TTTAGCATGGCATTAATGACTCTATTCGACTCGGCTGCGGTGTCCCTGTCGATATGGCCGGAAGCGCTATTTTCTGAGCCCGTAGTTATTGTCGTATTCCCGGCCAGGTCCACTGCTGGCATTGCCCTTGTCAACACACGCATAAATTAAATTCAAACATATAACGCCTACGCACTGACATTTTAACTAAAGTTTAAATCAGAGCAGCTCTGGAAGTTTTGGAATTACTATCTAGTATGTCCGTGACATGATATGGGAAAACATATTATAAAATTTGCTATTGGCAAAGTAACCAAAACATCTATTGAAATTTCTGAGTTTTTTCTTCTCTTATCGTTTAATATTATTGAAACTAAAAGATTATTGTAAATAAAAAGGTGATGCAGCGTGTTTTTATGTGAAACATTTTATAGATCAGAACAACATTATGTACTCTGTTTATAGCCCGAAATGGAGTTTATTAGTTTTGTACAATGTCCGTTCGAGAGTTTTCGAGTCTTAAATCAAACTTATAGCTAGAGCCTAAAAAATTCCATTAAAATAAAATATTATTTTGGGTTTTTCTTAATAGAAGTTCTATAATAGAACCGACTGAATCTTTAACTTGATTTTTATCACTTATTATAAGAACTTTTAAGGCACGACTCGACTCTTCGTATATATATAGTTTAGTAAATTTGGCAATTGGGCCGCGGGCACTTGAAATTTAGTCAACATATTTCCCATACAACATGTTAAAGTCAAATTGAAGCCGTCGTCATCATCATCATATCATAATAAGCGTATCATCATCATGGTATAATCTACCTGAGGCATTTTCTTGGGCACCTTCTTGGCTTAGTTGCTTCTACTTATGCCGCGTGGGCGTGTCGCCCAACAATTTTAGTGCTTTTGTTTAATAAACAAATAAGTTAGTAGATTGGCCCAACGACGCCACAAAGACGGAGAGTCGAAAAGGGTTTCCAGCGACGCCTTCTTTGGGCGGGTCCTATTAGCATTAATCGAGTGAGCTGAGTGCGTATGTATGTGTGTGCAGTTGTCTGTCTGCCCGTGTATATTCGTGTATGTGTGTGTGCGTGTGTGTCTGCATACCTTTGGATGGCCAACACACACGCGCATACAATTTACGACTTTGGATCGGTTTTAACAACTGTTTGTTTTGCAATTTTGTGTACATACTTATTCACGCAAAATTTATTAAACCTTTATTTTATGGCCTGTTTGTTAAGCATTTAAGTGGGCGTGGCACTACGCAACGTCCATCCAAAGTTTATAAAAATGAAATTTATGCGTAGTATGAATGTGCTGCTTAGTAATAGCAAACCGACTATACTTCTGTTTTTTGTATGTTTATTTACGTATATATATGTATGTATATATGTACGTGTGTGTATGTATATAATATATATATACACATATACATGCATGTATGTATGTACATATGTATGTTCTCTCATACAAAAATAACGTGCATTTAAATAGTGCCCCACTATGCGATTCTCAAAAATTCAAGTAGGCCCTACCAATTTTCATGCTTTGACTGTGAGTGGTGTTTTCTTTTTTTTTTTGTGTCTATCAATCAACTTTATCTCTGCTCTTCCGCTAACACTCTTGCAGACTATATTTTTTCTCTCTTTGTCTCTCCTCTCTCATGTTATCTTTCTCTCTTTTGGTTCCTTTTTTTCTCTCCTCCCTCTCTCCCTCTCCTCTCCTCTCTCGCTCTCTCTCTCTCGCTCTCTCTCGCTCTCTATCTCTCTCTCCTCTCTTTCTCTCTCTTACTCTCTCTCTCTCTCTCTCCCTCTCTCTTTTCTCTCTTACTCTCTCTCTCTCTCTCCCTCTCTCTCACTCTCTCTCTCTATATCTCTTTCCCTCTCACTCTATATCTCTCTCCCTCTTTATCTCTTTCCCTCTCACTCTATAATTCTTCTCCCCCTCTTTATCTCTCTCTTTATTTCTCATTCGCTCTCGATCTCTCTCACTCTTTCCCTCTCTTCAATTCGTCATTTTGCTTTTACTCATCCCTACTTCTCTTTTTTTTCTTGCAGTATTGCGGTTATATAAAAATCTGTCTTTCTACCACAAATAGTTGGAAATAGACAAATCGTTCGTATGAATGGAAGTTTTTGGGTAAGTAGACTTTTCATATACGTTTATATCAAAATAAGAATATATGTTAAGGCTATGCCAACCTGGAAGGTATTCATCTCTCCCACCTAAGAAGTAACTTTTTGCAGTCGGCACTCAAGCACTTAGCCATAGCATAGTTTTCAGTGACCACTCTGGGAAGCCAATTCCCCAGACGAGGGTCTCGTCTCGGATGTCGCAAAGCCCACTCCTCTTTCATCCTTCACACTCCATTCAATTAGCCTTTCTGGCAAATGAAGTAATGTTAGTAGTGCATCTTCCTTTTCTGCTCTTCAGCTTCGCTGCTCTTGTCCACTTAGTGCAGCCAACTCGGTCAACACTTAACACTACCCTTTGGTAATTTATAACATCTACAATCTCAGAAGTTTCATAGTTTCTCTATTGAAGCAAGGATTATATTCCTTTCAAAATGTGTATTCACCGTAACCATTGAATTTTGTAGCAGTATTACAAGACAGTTTCTTGGACTTGCAGCTTTCTTTAATTATCTTCAGGTGCCTCAGCTGGTTAGTTGGAATATACGGAATAATAGTCATAATTCAATTTTCCTGCGAAATTATTGCACATTTTTGCCCCGAATGCATTCAATAATATCTTAAATCAGTTGCAAGCAGACGTGGCAAGTGTTGATATGACAGGCCAATGCCTCCTTTGCTCTGCGCTTAATTAACAAGTCTGATTATCCTTGTCTGAACCTTACGCAAGGAACACTATAAAAGGATATCTGCTGCGTTTCCATGTGCAACTCTTAAGCGAATTTACCAAGCGGCTGCTTTTCCATCTGCCAACATTTGTCGTCACAGCAAAAAAAAATCTCGTTGCCGCATTAGGAACAGGCACAAAGGTGCGTAGTCTGCAGAAAAATTTGGTTTACTACCAGCATGAGATTAAGCAGAGATGCCTCGTAATATCATGATGTAACAGGCATTTGCCTTGATAAACATTCCAAATTTCATGTAAAAAACTTTACGAATATTACAGAAGGAACACGGGGAACAACGTAAGCTTAACAATCACACGATTTTTCGTTCGATTAAAGTGAAAGTACAACGGAAACATTTACCTCGTAATATAAAGTATATTGCAGAAAGGTATCAACACGTTTACGAATACTACACAAGGAAGACTGAAAAAACGTGTTCTAACCAATCACTTGATTTCTTATTCGATAAAAGTCAAAGTAAAACTGATACGTATGCCTCATAATGTCAATATTGCTATAGCAAGCATTTTTTTGTGGATAAGCAATTGCAGTAAGGCATTCAAACGTTTACGAATAATACACAAAGAAGACCTAAAAAACGATTTGCTAATGAATCAATTCTCGTTCGACAAAAGCAAAAGTTCAAGTCAAACATTTGATATATATATATTTAAAAAGATACCTTACTGCATTTGGCTGTCTTATCATCTCATCTGGTTTATCTATGTTTATAGGTATCTTAAAGTCGAGGCACATCTAGTCGAATGATTTCAATTTGTTGACTTTTGAATTTGCGAGGATGGTCAACAAGGACTTTTAGAAATTTTTATGTAACTAACTCGTTAATGATAACGTAACAAAAGAGAATGCCCAAGGACAACATCAATAAATGTGTGGGCATAGCAAAAAGACAGTGATAGAGAAAGGGAGAGAGAGGGAGAAATATGTGTACTCATCAGCTTTGTGTGTAGCTGCCAGTTAGTTGAACTTCAAAGTGATTTATAAAATGATTTACTTTCCATAATTATGGCAATGGCAACAGTAGATGGGATAATTCGAAGAATCGTTAGAAATTTAAGTTGAGAGTGTGGCAAAAATTTAATCCTGATATTATTGAAAAAACGAATGTTTAACTATTTATTTGTTGATTGATGCTGCGTGAATATTGAGTCAAATATGCAATTTTAAAATAATATTTGTTTTGGCTAATATTTGTTGTTTTTTTTTTACGGCAAAACAATATTAATAAATGTCGCATACTGAATTTTAAATCGGGTTTCTGGCTTATTCTCGCATGCATAAATTGCTAGCAGCAATACAATATTTTTCGATTCTTTTTTTTTTATTTTTTTTGGCTCAAAGCATCCTTTTGGCAAATAAGCGCTTTTAAATTCCGTTAAAACATTTGTGATTTGTAATTGCAGAAGTGGGTTTTATACTTTTTTCGAGGGTTATGTCACGCATTTCGGACTTCATATCGTGTACTCTATAAATAAATAATAATAAATAATTTGATATCGATGTTGGTATTACCAAAACCCAATGGTAAAAGGTATAAGATATATGTTACAGGTAGAGAGAAGCATCTCCGAGTCGATGGAAAAAACTAAAGCTAGAAACTTAACTTTTAATATAATATGTAAAATAGTATATCTATGTATTTAAAATAATATATATGTATATTGAATATTTATTTCCTCATACCATACATAGATGGATCTAATCCGTTACTTTACCAAATATCTACAAATAAACATAACCCAAAAAGTATTTCCCCTATACCGTATACAGAAGGAGTTAATAATTCGTTTTCGATTTATCCTTACCTTTCAAAATATCGATAAGTAAACACAATCCCAAAATTTCAATAGCTAAATACACCAATTACTTAACTTCTTGGCTAATATTTTCGAATCTGTTCTCTCCGAAATTAATAAGGAATGCCTAGGCTAGCAGGGAAGAATAAGCAGAGGTGCAGCGTAACGCGCGTGTGTGTGTGTGTGTGTCTTTTGATTGCGTTTGTGGAGAAGGAAACTAAATTGATTGTAAAGTCAGCTTGGCGCTAGGCTTAGAGTATCTGCCAGTCGGGCACGCACGCCCGCACGATTTCGCATCGAATTTTCATAAACTTTTCTTTGGTTTGTTTTTGCAGCTATGGATAAAACAGCAGCCATGATACCAACAACACCGGGAACATCCACTTTAATACAGGCCTAAAGGTAGCAGCTGGATTAACAATAAACACGACAGCCGGAACAGCAGCAGAGTCGACAATTGCAAGAATTTTTAATAAGAGCAGCGACTGCGAAAGTTGTCGTTGTTATAATTGCAACAAAAACAAGAACAACAACAACGACAACAAGCGTGTACATAAAATAAAAAAAAATCAACAAAAAAAATCGCGTGAGTACAAAAATATATTCATTCAGCTATTTAATTTGTGTGCGTGTGTGTGAGTCTGTCACTCACTTTTTGTATTTCATTTTAATTTTATAATTATTTAAAACATTTGTTAAGTTCGTTGGTTGTCCTGAGGGGGGGGGGGGGGCGAAAGGGGGCTGGGGATAAAGCGCAAAGCGGCTGATTAAAAAGCGTATGGAAAAAATTAATTTATAAAATTGGCCGCGCTTAATCGTTAATCGGATGCATTTAAAGTTAAGAGCAAGATCTTAAAATCATAGCCGTAATCAGAGATGAATATTAAAGAAAAGTATTATAATTACAATATATGCTTTATACTCTAATACTTTTTATATATATTATAAATATATTTTCTTGCGAGTTAGGCTCAGGATTTGAGCTATTTGGCCTTGGGTATAGTTGGTGAACACATCTGTGAACCCAATTTTAGTTCAGACAAATGATAACAATTTTAATGATATTATTTTTAATGAAATTTTTAATTGATAATTGCGCGCCGTTCTACTGAAAATATTCCATGTCGTACATATTTTCATATACAAGATATGCGCTAAATTTAATCTTTGACCAAAATTTTGATTTTTATTAAATGTGGCTCTCTTGAAAGTTTTTTTTTTTTTTGGTAATTGAAATCAAATAAATATATCATTAAAGTATAGGTTATAATAATTTTGCCTTGAAATGTACCACGAAATTATGCATAGAAGAAGACATCTACGACCAACGATAAATACGATCAGTATCTGTTAAGGATCTGTTAAACTTTCAATTCTTGCTTAAACAAATTTTATTTTTCTTAAGATCTTTTAACCAGACCTGGCATTTGTTAGTTTAATTATGATTAACACATATAGGCAATGTCCTAACCACATGTCAAAGATCTAAAAAAGAAACAATCTTTTGACAAATGCGTTCTTCTTTGAACCAATTTTATGTTTTTCAACATATCTTGATCAAACTCAGCAATTACAAGCTTCACAATTGCAGACCCGATTTCTAACTAACATTTTCTTATAAGTTGTTTAATTTAAAATGTGGAATGTTATTTAAAAAGAGCAGCTCACTAGTTGCGAATCGATTGGCAGACCGCACACTATCGATGCTCTAACTGAAAGTCGTTGTTTGTTTAAAATGTGTTAATTGTATAAGCACTTAATCGTAATATAATGAAAGACACGTGCGCAACTTACAAAACTCGTTCGACTTTCCTGCACAATAGGCATACGTATATATATACCCGTATATATATATATATATGTATGTGTGTGTGTTTGCATCTGAATCTCTCAGCGCTGTGTTAGAAAAGGCTTATTCAGCTTTTCGTAACCCGCAGGCAATTAGCCAAGCAACAAGCTTTGTTCGTGAAATTGCATTTTTGGGAAATTTGCCAAGAAGCGGAGCCAAACAAATTAGCGAAGAAACTTGTTGCTAAACAGCAATTTAAGGGCACAATGCAAAATGCACATATTACGTATACGCAGCGTGCGAAATGAGCTTCTATGCATAAGAAAAAGGTGAAAAGTATTTAATTTGACTTTTATAAGTCGACTAGAAATGTAATGAAAGCTATCAAAGACAATTAAAAGTTGAGATTCAGGAAATAGATACTGCGGGTATTATCTATTGCTCTCTCTCTCTCTCTCTCCCTCCCCCTCTCTCTCATGATCTTGGTGTTAATGAAAGATCAAGATCAGAGAGATACCATGCACAATTGGACTGAGAAACTGAGAAGCTTTGAAACTTAGACGACGGCACCAATTCACACATTTACTCTCAACGTACACAAAACGAGTATCATAGTTCACATATAGTATAAATTATTTATAGAGACAACCGCACAAATCTACATACACACACACACACACACACAGGCACACACACCCCTCGATTGCAAACCGCAATTTTATTTTTATTCTGCATGATAAATTAATGATAATTTAAAGATAACATTTGTATAAACAATTAATTTGGTGCGCCTTGTCGTTTGTTATTGCTGTTGGCTGTTTTCTCTTAAAAATAGACCAGCACGTTACCCAGAATTGTTATAAATTATATTATTATGAATCATAATAAAATGAGAAAACAGAGGTAGATTACGATAGATTTCAATGAGTTTAACAAAGAAAAGGCAACGTTTAGAGGACTTGGCATAATTCATATTCACATTTGCCCATAAATAACCAATTGTTTTAACTAGTATTATTCGTTGGGTTGTCCAAACAGATGATGGGTTATGCAAAACGAGGTCTCTGCGAAGTCGGATGCACTGAATTTTCCAGAGAATTCCTCTAAAGAATAATTTCGATTGGTAGTCTAGAAATTCTGTTGCAACAAAAGAAAATTAATTGGCATTAAATACATATTATAGAGGAGAATTACGTTCGATATGGCATTGAATTCGTCATTTGGAGCAAATGTTTTAAACAAAAGGTGTTCACCTTGAATATTTTTTTGTCTATTTTCTATTTTTTTAGTGGTATAAACCACATTGGATCGTAGCACTATTTAACAAAGGATTCCAATTAACTTTGAAATCTACACGTGAATTTTTTGTGTATATTGTTGGTGGAATGTTCTTGAATTAACTGTCGCAAATGCTGACAAGTAGAAACTAACCGAGGAATATAGTTTCAAAAGAAGTCTGTTGAAAAATATCTTATAATTTGGCAGTTCTTTGAGGTATCTAAATGACAGAGTCTTCTGCGAGTTATGCTTTAAGAAGGTAATCGAATTTATCGTATTATGTGTAATGCGAGTTCGACGTCCTGATATATACATATGTATATAAAAATGCTTTATGGGGTCTTAGAAGCTTCCTTCCTACCTATACTTTAGAGGTCGTTTATGCTTACCAATTACATATCCCTTTCAGGCCGCTTTCATTGGGCTTAGGCTATAATAATAAGCCATATAAATCGATTAGCTCAACTTGAGCTCTAATTGATAATGGGCTGATCTTTGGGCCACACCATGGAATCAAAACCCGCCAGCTGTTCCAAGTATTGGCCAGCCAGAAACTGTCGTCTTTGATTGATGATGTGGCGCCAAGTTGTTCATCATGTTCTCGTGTGGCATACGAGTTTTTAAGCTGATGCCTTTAGCGTGCAATTAAAACGCTATCGATATCAATTCGACAACAACAACAGCAGCAGCAAAAAACAAAAACAAAAACAAAACAATGTCAAACACTTGATAAGTGCCTGAAGATAACCAAATCGATTCGTGTCGACAAACAATATAACACAGCACACACGTATTTCCAAAAAAAAAAAACCAAAAAAAAAAACACTTGTGTGTGTTCAGCATTTAACAATATAATCACTTGAAAATGCCATTTATAAGAACTGGTAACGCTCTCAAAATCTCTTCAAGTGCTGCCAGTTGACGTTTAATTGGCGTTTAACAAATTTATTTTCTTACCAATTCTTAATACCCTTGCTGTGGTTGTTCTATTTGTAGCATGAATAGGGAGTTTTGAAGCCAAGTTAATTAAGAGTGTATCGAATTACTATATCATATGACTATCACAGGAATCTATTACTCTACCATATGGTAATGATGGAAAGAATCTGTTAAAAGCTTTAAAAACATTTCTAATTTAAGAACATTTTTAAGCACTTGTTGCAGATTCATAAAAATAAGCTTATCTTTATCTTCAGCTAGGGTATGTGAGCTTCGGCATTCCCCTATTGCTTGTCTCTTTTTTTCACTCTTTTTTTCTCTCTTTTTTTTCTATTGTTATAAGTAATGAGGGGCAAAGCTTAGACAAAACTCTTCACAATCATTAGGTGGGCTAATAAGCGTCTCTGAAAGTGTTTATGTTTTGGCTTAAGGCTTTCAAAACTTGATAGATTCTCGGTTAATGGCCCTCGATGTGTGCGGACACCCTGCGGGCAGGTGACTTCCGCATGACGCTCAAATAATAGTATCCAAACAGATATTTTGACGGGGTGTTTTGAAAGTGAAATTGAATAGCAGTAGCTAATAGTAAGCACGACTGCAATATACCCTGCAATCTAAAGGTTGTAGGGGAAGACAAAAGAGATTAAAATTGAAATTGAAGACCAACTGCGATATACTCTTTAGGTTTAGGTGCAGACTGGTTCTCTGTTTGGCATAAGGCATATGTAAATATATAAATATATATTTATAAATGTTAAATTCTTAATAATTTACAAGATATACTTACAAAAAAAATATACAAAATTAATTATATATAAATATATTAACAAATCATAATAATTAAACTTGTAATTTGAGCTAATATTTTATAAATCGCCTGCTCAAAAAATATATAAAAATTGCAAAGTTTATTAAAAGATCAAGTGCTTTTTAATAGCCAGCATAAAGCAAAGCTCAAACTTTTGATTGTCTGCAAATTGTATGGAAATCAATCCAATTAAAGCTGAACCTCTGCCAATTAATGCCATATCACAATCTCGTTAAAAAAAAGAATATATATAGGTGTTTGTATAGAAAACACTAAAACCACAAAATCTTTTGGCAGGTGGAACGCACGCTCAACTGGGCTAACAATGAAAACAACAACAACACGAGCAACTAAATAAAACAATTTATCATACAATGTCCAAAGTTTTTTTCTCTTCGTTTCGTGTGGTTTTTAAACGTTTTGGCTTGGTTTATTATTTGAACTTGTCTGCGGCCGTAGATGCCGCCTCCGTGGCTGAGCACGTTTCGAGCACATCTTTTGGTCTTCGGCTTAATTCTTTTTATGGGCGAACCCGGTAAGTGCCTATGGTAATCGTCGAGGCATTTTAATTAATGCCTTTTAACTTTCCCAAAAACAAAAGCGAAGACGTAAAGAAATCAAGTGGAAATGTGGCTAGTTGAGACCAAGACCAAGCGATACCCTGTACGTAGCTCGAATGTAGCCTAAATTCGATATATTTGCGAGTTCGATGCGGGACAAGGCTGAAACAATTCTCCATTGATTAGGCATAAATAAAATGTATGTGTACACA